TCCCGTGATCATTAGTCCTCGTTGTTTAGGAAGCGATTTGTGGAGATCATGAGGCGGAGTTCAGGCTGACCTACCGACACCTGGGCGGAAGTCTTGGTCTCCCGACCCAGTATGGCCCGACCAGTAATCTGTCTCCGTGAATTAGTGAGGGTTGCCACGAGTTTACAGTTTGCAGTGGTCGCTCGGTAAAAACGGATCGTTGTGCGCCCATCAGAGTACTGTTCCTTCGTGGGACCGTTGGCCACTCGGCACCCGGCTCATGTGCGATCCGTCAAAACAAGCGAGGCCTGAGGTCGCGCGTTGTGGCTGGCGCATGTGGCTAGTGACTCGACATGTGCGCTCCACTCGTCCAAGACGCATCTGCCTCTTGGCTCCTTTTGGCACGATCGTGTGATCGACTTGGTGTTGAAACGTGCAATGAATAAACTCAACACGGCTGGCATTATCTGGGTTCTGCATAGATCAGCGGCGCGTTCGAAGACCTGCGATTGACAATGCCTTGCTGGCTGGCAGTGCAGGTGCTATTGTCGGGCTTGGCCTTGAGTAAGGCCGCTTATAGGACGCAGGCTGGGTCGACGAGGTCTTGATGCTATACCCCTGTCGTGACCAATATGAATAGGGCCATCTCATCAAGTTATGTAAGCCAGAGCCTGTCGATCTTGCCAATCATCATCGACGGAGTGCGGATGGTCTCACTGGAATTCATGCGTGGCCCATGTAAGCGCACGCAGACTCCTGACGGTGTGAAGATAACGGACCATCATTTCGCAGGTAGCGATAATGGGGAGATGTGCATCGCGATTCCCACAACAACCATGAAACTTTACCAAGATGGGGTTGGGCAGAATAGGTGCTCTTCGCCCAACGCGACAAGGAAGACCGCTGTTATTGACCTCAGAAAGAAGGCCGTACAGCTGCTGAACTTTGGACCTGATTACTTTCATTCCTGTAATGATACAGCTCTGGCACACGCTCGTTCCTGAGTGACGCTCTCTGTAACTTGTAGAAAGCTAGGAAGCTTCCATTAGAGCAAAGGCCTAATGACAGCGGGGTTGATCGACAAGAACCTTGAGGTGTTCGAGAACCGCCGAATTTACAAACAAGATCATGGGCTTACATGATCGCTCTTGCCAACTCCGCACTGGTCAGTTCGTAAGCCATTCAGCAAGGCGAGATAACTCGCCGAAGCCGCTCACTATTGAGATGGACAGTAGACGTGCCGTTACCGCTAACGAGCTATGGGCTCCGGGAGGACAGCGTGGGTGCTGAGGCGTATATACACGTTCAAGCGTCAGCGGGTTCCCTGAATTCAAGGGGCGAACCTCGTGAGAACCGTTGAACGCAATTATAGCTCATGTTTCTTGCCCATAGTTCCACGCATGCAGGTGTGATGAAGGCGCTTACACGTTTGCGGGCGTTGACATTCGCAGCACGTGAATTGTATGAGCGCCCCAGGACCACGTCCGCCAAGACATGACAGGCCTTGTCAGCGTAGGCGTCGTATAGGCGTGTCGAACTTGTGATGAATACGGCGTTCGCAACAATGTACGAAAATGACCTCAGCCCCCCAACCTGACGACGCTTTGTGTGGGTCTTCCAACATCAAATCTCCCAAACCAAGGTAGTTGTATGCCTTGCCAATGGCACATGCAGCGGTGCTTGAGTGCAAAGGGCTACCAAAGTCGCAGATGAGTATAGATGAGTATGGATGAGTGAACAACCGGGGCCGATGTACGCGGTGGCTGAGGCATGGGTGATCGTGCCTACCCAAGACTCAGGAACGAAGTGGCTAACCAGGATCAACAAAAGAAATTCTGCATTGGGCATTCTCATGTTCGTGACTGGAACAAGACGCGGTCAGCAACTCTAAACGATGCAAACCGCTGAGAGTAGCTGCGCTTACATTGACAAGCGACGGTATCCATTAACAGCATGCAGCTCCTGAAGAAGGAATGCGTGCCCAGCTGTGCTTTGCCCGTCCACCGATTAATCAACTGCTGCTGGTCAGGCATTGACGGTACTTTGCGTGAGTTCGTACGCGAAACCCGCACCATCGTACAGCTTATCTCGCGCTCCAGTCCTCTTTCAGCTCGGACGGGTCACTTGCGACGTTCCGCGAGCGATTTTCTAACGTCCGAAAGAGCGAATTTTCAGCAAGCACGAGGAGGATCGCTCAGTCAGCCCGTCGTGCTTTTCTTCGGCCGAGGCCTGAGTCTGTACATGATACTTCGTCGACAAGCGGTCGAAATAACACAATTAGTGATAAAGCATAATGATGACCGGTGGACTGATTGCAGAACGCGCACATGGTGAGCCACATGGTCGACCTTGATGACGACTTCCGGAAAGCATCCAATGACTGGGAGTCGCAACTCGGGCAGCGTGTTTGTCCGCATGTTTTTGGTCGTGGATGTCGTGTTGCCGGTAGCCGAGGACAGCGAACAGCGATCTGGAGAGATTTTCGAGCGTACTTTACGCCCGCGTATTCGCCGAATTCACGTCACCTGTTCTGCTGCCACCACAGGTGCGGATTTTCTTCCATAGCAAGTTTCGTGGGCCACGGTCACGGTCCGCTGGTTGGCCGACTCCGCGCCCTCGCTTTCTCGTGTCGTCCGCCAACTGAGCCCAGTCCTTGTAAGGTTGGCGCCCTGCAACAGGCCAAGAATCCCTGCACATCGACTAATGTAATCCAACGTACGTGCGCCGATTGATGATGTGTAAGGAGACAGGGGTGCTTAGCTGCCCAGCGCCGGCGTATTTCATAATTACAGTTCCATTACAGGGCTTTTGCACCCAGGGCACAAGGTTAACGCCGAACGTCCGCCTTGACTGTTCGCTGACGTGAAAAGATATAATGCTTTGCTACCCACAGAGGGGTACGACCTTATTTAGGCCTTAATTTCCACTTCCACCTCTCGATAAAAGTACCCTTAGATACTCCACTCGGTCGACCAGATATCTCATCGACCACTACCACATTGACTTGAAGTCCAACTCAGCCACACCATTCTCACCAACACACCTTTGCTCCACTTTGCACCATACCAATCGACATGTCACCTCATAGGTCAGACTCGATGGAAGCCCAAGACAACATTAGGAAGCGAGTATGCAAGGCATGCGACCGATGCCGATTGAAGAAGTCAAAGGTATGTACGACCTCTTTTGTGCCTGTATGTCTTTCTAACCAGTGCAGTGCGACGGATCAAGCCCTTGCACTCGATGCAAAGCCGACAACGCCATCTGCGTATTTGGCGAGAGGAAGAAGTCGCAAGACAAAGTGTACCCGAAAGGGTATGTTACCATGCACCCTCGCACTAAGTTTCGATCTGACTGTTGTAGATATGTTGAGATGCTCGAACAGCAACAAACCCAATTGGTAGCCGGTCTTAGGGAACTGTACAGTCGCCTGCAACGAGGCGAGAGTTGGCCAGGACAGCCGTTGCAAGAATCCTCAGGCGGCCATCCTTTGACACACGACATCCTGGATCGTCTCGATCTTTTGCAATCACCTGGAGACGACAAGAGCCACTATGAGGGTTTCGAAGAAGATTGCAGCCGCATGCAACAAAAACTAGTTGAAGGAGGCGCCCCATACACCCGACGACGGGCATCCGTTAGCTCAGACTCTGAACATGGCCACGTTTCGCCAAACTCATCGTATAACGGTACACCGACGACCAAATCTTTCGCTTTTGACAGTCCGTTTGCGCGCCACAACGCGCCGCCAACACCGCCGATGAACAGCCCATTCCCTCGACAGTCCCAGGTAGTGTCGCCGCCAATCAAGCAAGAAACACAAATGGCACCAGCACCATACATGAACAACAGCGCTATGGATCCTTCCACTCTATCACGGGCGCCATGGATGAACGACTCCATTATGATGGACGATCCCGTAGACTTCAGCAAGCCCATGTATGGATTCGACAACTTTAGCGCATACGACCAGAACATGATGGTAGATCCCCTATCAATGAGCCAAAGCGATCCGATGATGCCAGACTGGAACATCCACAGCGACCTGGATTTCAGCAGTTTCATACAAAATCCAGTCGGCGCATAATTGGTCCGGACTTAACTCCGCTTCTCTCCGTCTCTTCGTTTAGCGTTCAAGCGTTCTGGGATCCTTTCCAATCCTATACGGCGTTCGTTTCGGTCATGGCAATCGGCGTTAATCGGCCGGCATTTGGTGGTTTTCTGGCGACTTTTCCTTATCTTCTGTGTCGAAAGTTCAACGGTTCACGATGACGTGAAATATTGCGCAAAGCATAGTTGCGACAACGCTCCGCGGATCGGCAAATTCGAATAGGGCCTCAGGTCGGTAGTACCGACCGGCAAGGCGATCGAAATTGTGGCGTTACTGTAAATCTCAACTGTATCATAGTCGAAGATGTTGTTCTCAATGCTCGCGGAATCCAGTGTGCGCGCCCTGCCCCTCGATTACTAATTGCAGCCTTCGCCCCACGCCCCCATCACATTCATCCGCACTGCCACAGCTCCATGGGCACAGGCGAACCATGACCGCATACGGCATGCCGTCCGACGGGTCGTTTGGTACTCGCGAGCGAACACTTCAGCCGTACTTCACGTGGTGACGACGGCAGAAAGGATGTCCAAGAGTGCTCCACATCCTCATTAGGCTAATCAATCACCACATGCGTACTCTATGTAAGGTCAATCGCACGCACTCATTCCTCACAGTCAGAAGCTCGAACATCCAAGCGGCCATCGAGGAAAATCGATCACCTGTTTCCAAAACAAACAAAACACTGAACGCAAGCTACCACTCGCTGAGGTGAGTGCCCTCCTGTAGCTGCCCCGCTCTCACGCATTACCCCTCATCACACCACATCAGACCTCACGAAAGTGCGGCAATAGTGGCACCCGTTATAGCGTTTGAACAGCACAACTAATGAGATCGACGCAGGTCATACGTACCAATTATCACATCTGCGAGCCTATCACCAAACTAGAAAAGTCACATTGACGATCGTATCATGTCTTCGACCAAGGCTTTCACCTTTCTGCCACTGGGCGCTATCATTCAAAAGTTCGTTGTAAACGGAAAGAACATCGTCCAGGGTTTCCCAACTGCAGAGCTGTACAAGCAGCACAACGCCCCATTCTTTGGTGAGACTATTGGCCGCATCGCCAACCGCGTATCCAAAGCGAAGATCAACGACCTGAATGGGAAGTCATACCAGCTAGCGGTCAACAACGGCCCCAACTCTCTCCACGGCGGCGACCTTGGCTGGGGAAAGCGAGAATTCGAAGGACCAATTATAGTTGACCGCAATGGAAAAGAGGCTACATTATTCAAATACGTCAGCAAGGATGGCGAGGAAGGCTACCCCGGCACTGTAGAGGTGCGCGTGTGGTATGTCCAAGCAAAGGAGGAAGTCGATGGCGCTCAACAGGAGGTCCTATACATCGAATACGAGGCTGAACTGATCGGTGATGAAGTCGAAGAGACCGCAATCAACATGACCAACCACAGGTTAGTTGTCTATCATCCTTTTCATTGACGTCTTACTGAGAGTGCATATAGCTACTTCAACTTGTCTGGAGGACCTACCATCACCGGAACTGAAGTCAACCTCATCACAAACAAGTACCAAGTCGTGGATGACGGAGGTATTCCCACTGGACCCATCGAGGAATACCCCGGTGTCAGCGCCAAGAAGACCTTCACCCTGGGCGAGAAAGAGCCCGATATTGACGACTGCTTTGTGGCCAACACAGACCCCAGCAGCATTCCCATCGACACTCGCTCTTCGCCCCTGCAGAAGCTTGCGTCTTTCTACCACCCAGAGACCAAGGTCCACCTCGAAATACACTCGACGGAACCGGCCTTCCAGTTCTACACCGGTAAATACATCGACGTACCTGCCGTTGGTGACCTTCCCGCCAGAGGCGCCCGCGCTGGCTTCTGCGTCGAACCCAGCCGCTACGTCAACGCCGTCAACGTTCCAGAATACAAGTCTATGATGGTTCTCAAGAAGGGTGAGAAGTACGGCACTAAGATCGTATACCGTGGCTGGCACGCGTAGATCTTCATTGCATTATCTCGATGGAATCCGTCTCCAACATTGGATAAGAACTAGCACCAAGTTGAAGACGTTGACTCAGCAGTCGACTCCTACAAATTAAATACATCAACGTCTCTCACGAAGTCCACATTATGCATGCACGCTGAAGTCATTTGACACTCGCTCCTCCAGTCCGTCACTGCACCTATTTGTAAAGTCACCAAAGCCTCAACGTCAACCCACGCATCATCTGTACGTCTGCGTCAATTCTAATTTAGCAATCAGTCTTCAACACTCCACTGTTTTCATCAATCACCTCTAGTAACCATGACTCGGACGGGAACGTCCGAAGATCGAGTTGTCCAGACCTCCAGCCACTGGCCCACAGCACGACGTCACACAACGTTGCTTGCGCGGCCGCCTAACATCTAGCTCCAGGTCCGGTGAGAGATAAAGGCTCTTCTGCCGCTTAACCGTGTTCCTTTACCCCAGCGAGAAAGGTTATCCAAACCTCATATTCTCGAAGGATACTAGGGCTATACGTACGCCACAAAGTGTGGAGCAGATGGTGCAATGGAATACGCCCAAGTAACATGGCACTTGGTCCTTTCCCGTATCGCTAGAACGTATTGAAGCAAAGCATGGGAAGCAAACTTTATCGAGTAGTGCACTGTGGCTGCAGGTAATACCTCGATGCGAATTAAACTCTTCAAAGCACAACGATGGTCACTGAACATACCACGATCGCAAATATCATCGCGTCTCCACATTAGAATTCGGGACGACGGTTATCTGAAGTATGCGACTTTTGACGTCAAACTGCAGTCGCCGATCCCGTTGAATATTCTGGAGCGTTCTCCGCATCCCACCAGGTCCCCACCGTTCCCGCATCGTCTCTCAACCACGTTGTCAGCACGAGTTCATCTGTACGCGCATGCGGCGTGCGCTTACACACCCGGATCAGGACCACAGCAGTTGCGGGTACAGTATTGGGGGATAGTCCTTAGACCAGCGTAAAATCGATTTGATCGCTTTTTCCTCCGTATGTACGCAACGGCGAAAGCGTTGCTAGTGATCATCAATCAATTCCATGGTCAAAGAAAGCCTCTTGACAGAATCTGGGCCAGTATGTGCGATGAGCCACCAATCAGAAATGTGGAGAGGGGCTTGGCCGAACCGCTCAAAGTGGTGTAGCCGTGCAGCCTCCCTTTCCCCGCCGCGCGAGCCTTTTTCGGTACCGCGAATCTGGTAATCATCACCCCAGTCGTACGATGACATGAGGTTGCGCGAACATATCCAGTCGATCTCTCACCTCACTTCCACATGTCTCGAAACATCCCTCGGCAATCACGAGCTGTCCTCTTACGATACTGCGGTGGTCGGCACATTGCTGATACGGCGACTGGAGTCGATGCATGCAGCTGACTTTTGCACTCCATCGCCGACTAGACCCGCGTGGGTATCGTAAGACGTACGCGTCGATACCTACCAGCGATTGTCATTATCCCGCCGACGATAGCAGATAGCAGACAGCGGCACCTAATGTCGGGCTCGACAGACTTTCTCTGCTCGATCACGGCAAAGGTGCGAAGTTTTTCTTTTCTCCCTTTTCGATACACGCCCAACATGTGCTAAAACATCTAAGCTCCGGTGACTAGCCCAGTACAACGTAGAAGAAGCAAAGCCATGCGGCTAGCTTAGACATACCGAAAGCATATTCCGCCCTCTCTGGGGTTTGCCGATCTCAATGCCGGGCACGAGGAACTGCTCTTGGTGTTTTACTGTGATTACTGAAATTACAGTGGCTGGCTGTTTGTACCTTGGCAGAGCTTTACGGTAGATGGAAGCTTTATCTTAATACTACCTAGATGTATTTGAGTGCCTGAGCGATGCCCGGGAAGGACATGCTTATCAAATACCCACAGTACCCGCCTGCATGCACGACATGGCTCACAGTCACTCTTACCAAGTCCCATCCACAACCCCTTAGCCGCAAACCCTTCGGCTCAAGCCGAAATCACGACTTCGGACCCAACGTTCCCCAATCTAGAACGACACAAGGACAAGAAACCTGCCTTGGCTAACCTACACTCGACCCGAGTCCCCCAAACCAATGGAACGCCTTAAGACCCGACCATCCGCACACGTAGTACTTCTAATACAATAGTCACGCTACCAAACCACCATAGTCGTGGGAGACGACTAACTAGCCTCGTACGGGCCACTGATACGGCATTCGCATCGAGTGTCTTGCCTGACTTTGACTATGATCACAGTAGCGAAACAGGTTTCGAAGCACCACCTGCACTCTCAGGTCCGCATTCAGCAACATGGCATATGCATATATGCACAACGACGGTCGCAAGTTGCGGAAAAGTAGACTAGACAGACATGCCAATTGTCGATTTGTCGATCTCCCGAAATGTTTCGGGCTGCTGTGTTATCGGTTGGGGGGAGCTTCGGGTATCGGCACGGTTCCTTATCCGATGTATAGCCGCTGTAAGGGGTAAGTGTGGTGAGTGTGTTTGACATTGTATACGATGACGTCGACGATCGTGGAAATGTTTGTTGTTCGCGATGGGGGTATTGCGTTAGTGGAGAAAGGTGGTTGGGTTGGGCTCGGTCGTGCGTGGGTTTAGATTGGGGTCATTCCCGAAGTGCTGGTAAGGCGTGAACAGTTTTTCCTTTTCCCACGTGGGTTGGGGAGATTTTACGTTGCATTTTCTCGTGCTGGTTGGAGAACGAGCGGGACTTGCCGGTGCAATGCTTGATGTTGCTTCTTTGTATAAATTATGAATACTGGGAGGATCAGCATAATACATGTGTGTCGACGTACTTGTGATCGAAAGTACCAGCGATCGATGTAGAGTGACATCGACTCGTTCTTGTACAATCGGACGATGACCCTACTTGCGCGCGATACCAGGAATTCAGCGTAGGCCACTAGCGTACGGAGGGAGTGGAGGAGGTAGACAGCGGCTTATTAGACCGAAAGATGAGGTGGAACTGATGCATGCGTGATATCTACAGGACACACTTGAGCTACCTCTATATGTACGTCTACTTATCGATCGACAAAGATACATGACTGTATACACCGTAAGCTACTCTGGAGAACACGGTGGGCAATATATACTCTTGAAATGCCCCAAACTCCTCGCTATGCACTGAACATGTTCCTTCATGTCGATGACCTGCATATAATGGGTATTTCTCGTGCAACCATATCGTAGTCATGATATTAGTATGGCGGACTTAGAGGTTCTTCTTGGGCCTCATGTCCACGATTTCCAGGGGCGCGTCGGTCAGCTCGACCACATGACCTGGCTTGAGCGCTTCGGTGTAGATGTTATCAACGTCGTGAGGATGGAATATACCAGGTCGACTGCAGTTCAGAATGGCTTGTTTGCCCGGGGGATCAGTGAGGCGGAAACAACCCCAGCTATATCACTGTCAGTGTCTTGAACGAAACCAAGGGGAAGTTGGATGACATACCTAGGTTGTTTTGTCGGAGCGCAAACGATGGCGATGCTTTCTGGCATCATGACCTGATATCCGACATGGGTGTGCAAGTCTCTGCTGCTCATAAAGCAGGTTTGCGTCGGATGCGTGTGAATCCAACCGAGGACCATCAACTCTTCTTTGTCGCAGTAATCAAATAGCTCTTCTTCGTTCAACGTCTCGCAGGTGTCGCTCGTGCTAGTTTGTTCGGGGATGATGAGTCGTGTGATGAAGAGGGCGTTGGACTTTAGTATTCCACCCAGCATACCGCATGTTTCAAGATTGAGACGTGTGTTGGAGGAAGCAACGGCAAGGAACTGATTGCGTAGTTGGGAGGGGAGGAAAACGGGACGGAGGGGATCGCCATTCTCCAGGAAGGCAGAAGGCTTGAATGTGAACTCGTCCAGCTCGGTGGAGGGTGTCAACGGTCTCTGGTCCGGTATCTTGCTTGGCAAAGGTGGCGCGCTTTCTGATATCTTGCCTGGGACAGGAGGAGGTCGTGAATGATCGTATCGCGCATCGTACGTAGAAGCTGGAGACTTGGGCGGCAACGGCGGTGGGGCTGCCGGCGTGCCAGAGGCTCTGTATATCTGCTCTTTTGGAGGTCGCGCAGGCGCTGTGTCGCGTGACTGCGAGTCTGACCATCTTTCTTGGGCAGTCTTGTAGGGTACGGTAGGGTAGTGGTATGGGGACGCGGATTGAGACGTGGGCCGCTGGACTTGTCAGTAAAGAAGCCACACGGCTGTCGCATGAAGCTTACCGAAGAGTAAGATGTTCTGTGGCCATTTTGCTGAAGCCTCGCAACTTCTTGCAGTTGGTTTGAGATGTCGTCTCCGTCGGGCCCTTGCTGCCAGCTGTCCCAGGTGCCTCCACTGCGGCGCGCATGCTCTTCCTCCTCTGAGATGCCATGCTGTCGCACGCCTCTTCTGACAGTGTCTCTCCTCCGCACTTCTCTCTGCGCCAGTCTTGCAGCAAGCGACTGGTTCTCCAGAGAGCGCGCATCGATCGTGGGCCGCGAATCGAACGACCGTCTCTTGGGCCCCCGATCTTGAATCGCCAACCCGTCCAGCTCCTGGGGAAGAGCACCCAAGCCCTGTCCTTCCAACGATCTCAGGCTTTCCTTCTGTCTCCGTCTCCTCTCTTCGTATTCTTCGTGCCTCTTTTTGATGCGCGGCGCGATTTCCTCGAGCTTCTTCAGGTCGCGACTGACAGCTGCTGTTGCAGCATTGAGCGCTTTTCGGTTCTCGGGCTTGTTCCTGTCAGGATGGCCCTGTAGTTTCTGGAGGACGAGGTCGGCGTGTCGGTATAGGAGGAGGTATGTCTGCGCGTCGTTGCCCTCTGCTTCATAAACTTGGGCCTGGTGGGAGTGAGCATGCGCATCCCAGCCATGGCAAGTAAACACACCTCTTTCTGCATGGTGCTGGCTGTGCGCAGCCAATTCGCCAGGGGGATGTGCGCATTGTATGTATAGTTTCCGGCCTGTTCCGTCACCTCGGGCAGGCTCACGGGGGTGTTGATGGTCGCCATTGCGGAGGATGCGTGTTGCGGAGCGGCGGGGCGTACGAGGTGTGCCTAGGTATTCGCGAATGACGGCCTCAAGGCAACAACTTTGCGACAAACAGGACCGCTACCGGTGCGGGTGGAGGTGACGCGTCCTCATCAGTGACATGGGGAAACGGTGTGCGGCGCTGGCTGAAGAGAATCAAGTCTAGGGCACTGTGATGGAGGATGGGTGATGGTGGATACATGGCGGGGCAATCAGGGCCCTGCTGCGGCGCGTGGCAAGCACGACCAGCTCGACTTGACGAGGTTGGGCATCAGACACATGCATCGCGAACAAGATGGGCATAAAGGCAGACGATGATCCAAGAGACATCATGGTGGACTAGCAACGGCACTTGGATAGCAGCAAAGTCGGATATGCAGGGCAACAGAGGCGGCCGCGCGTGTTCACGTGTAATGACATCGGTGTACAGGTCCACAGAATCTAATCGCGTCTAGTATCCAAACATACGAATAATATCTAGCAAGACGCCCTTATCTTCACTTGTCCTCTGAGTCCTCCGATAGCTTGTCCCATTCGCTGTCGGTAGATAGATCACCTGTTGATTCGCCCATGCCCTTCCTTCTCTTCAGCGCTTCGTCTACCGGTGCTGCAAGACTCGTCGCCGCCCCCGTAGTACTCGCAATAGTAGGGCCTCCGCTGCCGACAGAAGCAGCAGCCTGTGTTGGGTTCTCTGTCTCACTTCCACCCGGTCTCTCCACAAACACCGTGCTCTGTGTCTCGGGGCGGGGCGCACGAGGCTGGCTCGACTTGGGCTTGATAGTTTGCGTTTGCTCGACCTCGGTATCCACCTCGGTATCGTCGCCTGTGTCCATGCCGTCTCCGTCGTCGCCTGCACCACCCTTCTCTTTTCCGCCCCTTCTAGCTTCTCGGATACGCTTTGCTTCCTCCTCCTTCGCCTGCGCAGCCTTGAGCTCCGTCGCAAACCAGTTTATCGACCACCAGAGACCTCCGCATAGAAGGGAGAGAATGACGAAGTGTATGCTGTACGTCGCGATGAGCATGACGAACAGCAGGACCTGGAGCGCAGCGAACGAGGCGTTTGTTGCGATAAGGAGGGTAGGCGTCGGCCCCGCGATGAAGATGGACTCCCATAGCTGTTCGAAGAAGGCTGCCATATTGTGCAGTTGTTTTTCCGCTCGCCGAGTAGGTGGTAGGCGTGCGTTCGTCGGTGCTTGCAGATATCGTCGTTCGTATTCGAAGTACTTGTACGGCCCCACGATACGGCTGCCTAGCCAAGTGGACAGGTGCGGCGTTGGGCGATGCGACTTGCAAGCTGTGTAGTGAATTGATATGCGAAAGTGATTTGGCCGTGTACCAACGCCAGAGTAAACTGACGGAGCGGCGTGCTGGAGTCGGGAGAGATGCTCGAGTGCTGTTTGATGCCCAGGTGTGTCGCGGGGCTGGCTTCGGCAGAGCTGTCCAAGCTAACCCCCGGTCATTGCCCTACCGCGTCACGCGTCGTGACCACTATATTACTCCGCCGCTCCATAAGCCTTTAGACGCGGCAATCGTGCCTCGTGATCAGAATCACATGCATCATACCTGCTACCGTCCAAGCATCATCGAGTCTTCTCACAACGATCTGCGCCCATACGCCTTCACCAGCCTCATAGCTATGCCTCAATAGGCAATTGCATTACTTATCGTCATTGTACGGATAGCTCAACACCCTCTTGTCCGGCTCCCCATACATACGCTCTTACAGCAGAAGCTTAACAAGGCAGTCACTCCACCTCTGCGCGTTGTGCACTGCCTATCTTCTGTGCTTCTTCGACTTTCTTGACATTCTTGTGCTCGAACCCAAAGGACGCAACCAAGGCAAGTCCACTCGTCACCAGTAAGAAGAGAAAAACGTCCCGAATGGCATTTTGGTACGCCAACTTGTTCGCTCCATTGCTGTTCAGTCCTTCCACCGACGAATCCGGAAGGCCGGACTTGACGTCTACTGTCAAGCGACCCAAGAATATAGTTTGCGATATACAGAGGCTTACTGCACCGCCGAGTTGAAAGGCAAACTGTAACAATGCTGAAGCGAAAGTCAGATCTCAGATAACATGACGTAAACAAGCCTTACCATTCCCGGTGACCATGTCTTCCTCCTTCAAGACAGCCGACACAGCTGTGTACGGTAGATTGATCGCGCAACCAGTACCAACACCACATATGATGAAATATGCCGCCCACACACCATGGTAGGTGCTGACGTTGAGTAACGTAATGAGCCCGGATCCGACCTTCATTCGAATGGTTAGTTGATCCGGGCGATAAAGTTTCCAACTGGAACTTACTACGCTCAGGCCAGTCCCAAGGATGATGAATGGCGTCTATCGAGACTCAGTCAAAAACAGCGACATCGTTCTACCGAAACTCACGTAATAGCCTGATCTCGAAACTAGGGCCCCAACCACTACTACAGTCAAAATCTGCGTCAACGTCAAGAACAAGATCTCTACACCACTCCTTTGCGCGCTGAATCCCTTTACTGTTTGAAAGAACATGGGTACGTATACTCCGTACTATCTTCATATCAGTTTCGTCGGGAACATGTACGCGGGGAGCAATTACATACCGAGAAATTTGGCATCGAAAAGAAGAATAGATACACGACCCCAAAAGCGATGGACCGTTGCTCGAGGACTCCAAACGGTACAGATGCGTCTTCCCCCATCTTCCACTCCACCAAGAGGAACAGCACAAGCAAGATGCCGGAGACGGCGAAAAGGCCGATGATGCTGGGCGAGCTCCAAGGAAGACGGTGGCCGCCCCATTGCATTGCCATGAAGAGACAACACATGAACGCGATCAGCAAGAGACTGCCTCCCAGATCAAGCTTGAAGAAAAAGCGTCCAACATCATGGCCGCCGTTGGAGGTCTTCACTTTCCCAGCTCGATTTTCTCTATCAAGTCTCAAAAACACCGCAACGAGTCCTAAAACCATGGCACCCAAGGGCAGATTGCTTGCAACCCGTAAGCATAGAATTATCGATCCGGGGCATACTCACATCCAGAAGCACCACCGCCATAGTCCTCGATCAGCCAACAAACCTCCCACCACTGGCCCGACCCCAATGCTAACCCCAAACGCACTGACAAATAGCCCGAAGAAGAAGGGTCGCTGGGATAAAGGAACAATCTTCGTTACCACGGCAAAAGAACCTTGCATTAATCCCGCTGCTCCGCATCCTGCCACCGCTCTCCCTAGAATGAAGACTGCAGATGAAGGTGCGACCGCGCAGAGTACACTACCGACTAATGGTTACATCAGCTTATCGTTTTGTACACCCTACACTCATATTAGACCAAGAAAGCACCCGACGTACCTTCGAACACCCCCACAGAGACAAGATACAGCATCTTGACATCCCCCACTTTATACAGTTTCCCCAATGTGGGCTGCAGCGCTGTGAGCGCGAGAAGATACGCACTTCCATACCATGCGAGATGGTCGAGGACGTGGAAGGTTTTGATTATGGTCAGCAGGATGGGGTTGAGGATTATGGTGTCGAGGGCTACGAGGAAGGTGCCGAGGTAGAGGGAGGTTACAATGAGGATGACATGGGCTTTCGGTGTGGATTTTGATGTGACAGAAGGAGTGGGCGAGGAGTAGTGGTAAGCTCGATGGATGGGGACATGGTAGGATGTGGTTGGCGTGTTGGAGGGGTTGAGTATGTTAGAAACGATGAAGTTGTTGACTTGAAGATGGGAGATGTTGAGGCTTCCGGCTTCTTGAACAAAAATTGTCTTTTCAGGCTTCCTCTCACGAATGTAACTACGACGGGGTCCACATGGCTGGCATCGGCCTGTCTGTCACAAAACAGCAACATCTTCAGCAGTTTCGAAACGAGTATGGTACTTGTAATACACGGAAGAGGGACGGAAATATGAGAGGGTGTCGCAACTGAACAGCTGAGCAAGTAGCGCAGGTACCCGTAAGCCGCCATCCATGAAGCCGCCTGTACAACCCGAGCTTGACGACACTGAAAAGTTCCGGTCAACTGATTTCCACATACGCATGATAAGCTTCTGGTATGATTTCCGAACGGTACGGAAGGGTGGGGAGATGGGCAAGGTATTATTGCGCTGTTACTCGCTACATCCGCAATGGTACCCACGATCGATCCGCCTCCCTATCCACAGCCCCATCATGTTTCAAGAACCGTCCCCGAGCGATCTTCCTACCAGTTTCCACCACAAAACCCTCCCAGTCCCATCCTCCAGAACGACTTCGCAGGAGCTTTGGCGATAGTGCGAGTGAATTTCCGAATCTAGTAAATGTAGGGCTTGCCACACTGCTTGCGTCTCTGGGCGTTCCATGAGCTGACATTGGAGAATTTCCCGTCGGCGTTGCACTGTCCAGCAGTCGTGCTGTCCTTGGACGCCCTCAAGCACATTCTCGGGCAATCATCGACAAGGTTGTCCTGAAAACATCACGATGGTGAGCAAGTCAATCTTGAGTGTGAAGTGATACATGACGACTTACGATAACGCAGCAATGGCTGCCGTCTGGGTAAAGGCACTGGCAGTACGAAGCAACAACGCTGCTTACGCTGGCAAGAAGCACGGTAACAACAGTAAGACGCATGTTGGGCGTTGATGATTAGTAGGATGCAGTTGGGTTGGGTTGGGTTGGGTTGGGTTGTGGGTAGATGTGATGAGTGGTGTGATGGTGCTGAGGAGTGGAAGAAAGACCACGATCTTTATAGAGTCCAGCAGACTAAGAGACCGCATAACACGAGTCATAATCATATTTCGGCGGATTTACGAAGCACCCCACGGGGGGACGTGCATAGGTCACATTGGATCTGTTCAAGTAATCTCACGGAGTCTACCACAGTACGCTTGTTTTCGTTTGGAAAGGTTCATCATCGTATCAATTACACACGGTGCCAAGGCACACCGTCATATCAATTATTACACGCGGCGATTGCCGTATTCACAGAAAAGGGTTGAGATTGAATGGGAGCTTCCCAGCGATCGAGGTCCTAGGATCTCGAGAACTGAGGAAACTCAAGAGAAGGTACATTGTCACATTGACTGCCACAATACAAAGAGACGATTGCTTAAGAACTGCGCAAGGGCATCCTGACGAGCTCCCCCTCTACTTCGCGTTTCCAATGGTCCAATCCGTGCAGGAGCGGCGCCACGAAGCGTTCCATGAGCTAACGTCCGAGTACTTGCCACCAGCGTTGCACTTGTTGTCCGAGTTTCCGTTGTCGATGCATCGGGCCACGCAGTCCTTCCTGATGCCGTATTGCTAGTACATCGTTAGATTCGGTCGCTTGAATTTCCTGTTTGATTCCACTCGGGCTATCATTGGCTTACAGTAACGCAGCAGTGGGAGCCATCCGCGTAGAGGCATTGGCACCATCCATCAGCGGCGACGGAAGTGATGGCGGCGAAGATAACCGCGGCGATGGAGAGTCGGACCATTTTGTCGTGGATCGAGGTGAACGAGTAGTTGAGTGTGATGAGGAGGTGTGTAAAACTTGTGGGTAATGAAGATGCTGTGTCGGTATGCTAGGTATCGAGAAGATCACTGTTGCTTTATATAGACGGCAAGATCATGTTCGTCTATCACAACAGAGACGACCCGGAGACGACCCACCAACCACACCTGGGTACCTTCCCGCCAAGGCCCGCATTTCATACGACCCATGCGCAAGGGGATGGTCTCGAATGGGAAGTATCTCAACTCCAAGGGCCTCGTCTATCACAATGAAACATTATGGTCAGCTGAGTAGCAAAAAGGTCGTCGCGCCGATTCCATTGTGATGTTGAGGTCAGTGGAACGATACCTAGATACCTATATAGGGCCGAATGGTCCTTAGGTTCGGAGGTCAGTGCGGAAGTCGGAGAGCACCTGCAGACGGGATCTAAACGATGTTTAGATACCTAGATAGAACGACACCTACGACACACACACCTTACATACACACCAATGCAACTAATCGCATCCAGCACCTGTACGAATAGAAAGAACTACAGTCTCACCACCACACCATTACGATGAGGCGCAAAAATCTGCACGGGCTTGAACAGCCGCAACGATCTTACATAACACGTTCCCACGCCTGTCTCCCTACGTCACCCTTCAACGTACACCGATCAGCTCTAAACAGCGCATATAATATGACCGAACAGTTGACCGAATGTGGAAGAACCTGCCAAACGTGGTCTACTGTGCTTACAGGAAAGTGCCGACTGCCGAATTCGGACCGTCACGAGTCAGTACTACCAGACGTTTCTGGAGTTGTGGCAGAGCCTCACTCGAACCGCCTGTTGTGGAACCCGTTGACCATGAGCGCCTCGGACCCAAATTTCCACTCTACGGCCAAACTATGTACATTCGATAGTACGAAGGGGACTGTGTCAGCAGCCAACTAGTGGACTATCACCAAAACCGGCACGGGGGAAATACACGGCCAAAGATGCGCGCTGAATGTCCCGAAGCCAGTCGCTATCTGTGCAGACCGGGCCGGTATGCTCACTGTGGTATGTACTACCATGAAGTCTGCAGCCATGCCGCACTCTAGAAGATGGAAGCAAGATAATGAGTAGCACGAGGGAGGATGAGAGGAAGTCCACCAAAACTGCCATCGGACAGTTGCGAGTAAAGGGCTTGCTGCCGTGAGTGACAACCCAAAGTCTAGGAACTTCGAAAGTCTAGTTCTGGCCAAGTTGGAATGATATCCTCAGTTCCAGATGTGCATCCCCAGGAAACCCACCGGTTCACGGGTACTTCCGACGTCGCCACCGCTGGTCTCCAGGAGAGCAACCTTGATGAGGGCCAGATCTGCGGTGGTATCTTCGTTGAGGACTCCAGCAGCGTGTAAATGGAGCACATGGTTAGTGAGCTCGTGATGTTGATATTAACGACCGAAAATGAAGCGTGATTTCTCCATCCGTTATCGCCCCTGCGTTAGTACGTGATCCCTCAATCATGTAGGTGAGATGGTACCGTGGATACCGCTCTAAAATCGACCCCGTCGATACATTCAAGTCTTGGAAGTTGGATTAGTGAGTTCGTGATCTTGGAAATAGCCGCCGAAAAGGAAGCGTGGACCTGAGTGGTCTCTCGTATTAGTCATGACCCCTGCGTTAGCCTATGTTGACTTGATCCTCTCCCTTGCAATCCACACGCAATAGTTTCCTGCACACAATACTTTTGCCGGTATCCGCAGTATCTCACGATTACTGACGCGGAGATACCCTTTGAACAACACACCGACACTCATAAATACCCGGTGGTCGAAAACGACCGTACGAGGCTGGGCTAACTTGACTGCACTATCTTGAGCGATATCAGAGCATCACTCGGCCAAATATCAGTGCCGGCTCCTTTGTCTGTAGATATAAGCAAGAGCTTAAGCAAGCTTAAATATCAGAGCACCACCCTCTCTGGACAGCATCAAGACACTCAATCTAAATCCACTCTACTCCACAATCTTCTACTATCTCTTTGAGACTTCTCACAACCGCCAAAATGGTCAAGATTCTCTCCCTCGCTACTATCATCATCGCCAGCGCTATCAGCGCCCAGGCTGCCCAGTTCTGCCAGTGCCTCTTCGGAGACGGCTCGCACTGCTGCGTCTACTCGGTGAGCAACTCTTCAGGAACGGAACAGTGAAATGGATGTTGGATGCTAATCTGAGATACTCTTTAGGACCCCAAGATTGGCAACCTCGACTGCCAGCGCTGGTGCACCAACGCCCACCGCGCCGATGGTGCCACCAACCCCAACAACCCTCTTGAAGTCGGCACCGCCTGCAATGCTGGTGGAAAGTACAGCACTGTCAGTGGCTGGAACGCTCAGTTCCGCACCTCTTGCTACAAGCAGTAGATCGTGGTTAGCTCGATCTCGGGAGTCGGCTGTGGCTTTTGATGGGTGGACGGTTAATCGGGGACTGTGGTGGACACGTGGTGAGAGCTATTTGTTGTAATGGGTTAAGGCAGACGTGCGATGTGTAAACAGGCGACAATCTCAATATTAAATCGACCCACCAATTGTCGTGCTCGCATGAGTTGCTGTCGAACGTGCATATTGTGACGAGATATATTAAAGAAGCAGGGTGCACCCCCGCAAGACCTCGGGAACTAAGCCGTTGCTAGCGTTCCCGAGCCCCACTCTAACAGCCGAGTCGTCCTCTTTCGTGCACAACTACCCGCCTATCTTCTTAAAGAAGCTTCGCCGAGGTGCTTGGGATCGGCGGTGAGGCTCTTGAGGCTGGGGGATCGACTAGAATGAACGCGCTCCCCCAACCGTGCCATGAGATTGTCAGCTGTGGTGCCGCGCTGGATTGTAGCAGCCTTCTGCAGATGTGTGATGACTGTCACGGTAGTCGTGACTTCCGAAGGAAGTCACGCATGCTCAGGCAGGTTCATCTGGAGTTCTGGTTGACGTCTCGTTGTCCAAGCATCGTCAGATTCTACTAAGCCAGTTCCTGTATATGAGTACCTTGATGTCGTGGCCCGGATCAGGAGATAGTGCAAGGGCAGCAAGGCACGCAGCAATCTGAAACCCTCTATGCGTACCATAACCGGGTAGATGGTATGCTACCCAGCTACATGGCTTTGGGCCGCTGACCAGTGCCTTTCCGCAAGCGTTGGGACATTGTTTCTGGGGTGTCTGTGGCTGCGTAATGTGGTACTTGTAACGAGTCAGAATGGCGCCTTTATAGAGGTATATGTATAATTCGATAGGAAGAAGAGCGCGTCGTTATGTGACGATCTTTTAGTGACAGAAACAAGGAGCGCCTGATAGTTGTTTATTCAATAAACATGGTGGTGCCTGCTGGTTTCGTGAATAAATGAAAACGGGGGCAACATAAAGATCATTCGTGGTAGTTGCACTGGCCGACCGTGGCTGGGGCGGCGCGCCTGCCGTTACCAGCGCCCTTCGTGACTCAACCAAAACAACCAAAGCTTCCTTCTCAATAAATGGAGAACGTGTCATGCACATCTTCATTATGATCAGACAGATGCAGTTTATTTCGATTTGAAACTGATTAAACATGAAATAGAACGTGCTCGTATTCCACCATCTTCTAGCGTCCTCCAACAACGGGTGGTGCGGACTTCAAATTGCCCTTGGCATATATTTCCACATATTCCTTTGCTGGCCAACCGCCCCACTGTTCAACACTCTCGATTTGTGTCTTGATAAGAAGTGCTATGTCTTCTGGTGCACCGGATGTGTGATCGTTGCCTGGTTCAAATCCTCCTCCATCGACAGCTAGGCGCAACGCCACGAGTGTCTTGAAGAGAAGGTGCCTACCTGAGCGTTGAGCTTCTGCACGCGCCGTCACCTCAGCGTGATGTTTGGTGAACCAGGTGGTGAATGAGTAAAGACCCTCATAATCCCGAAGAATACCTAGCCCTCGTACATAGGCATGTAGCTCCGCGGGCCCCGGAATGTGTGGCGGAATGGCATTGGCTGTCTGATCACCGGTAGGCGACTGCAAATCTGCACTAGCACCGACTAGGCCATTGAAGAGCGTACGAAGGCGAGAGGAGGCAGTGGAAAGAATATGTCGTGTATCTTCAAAAGAAGCGGAACCTCGTTCGACGGCTTGAGCGGCGTACATAGTCGCAATACAGACCAGACGGAATATCTCGTCGTCAACGTCAAGATCAATTTCTTCCATATCTTCAACAATGGAACAAATGAGCTTGTAACGAGGAACACTTAGAACATGCTTATGCCCTTTCTGAGACGCCAGCACCTTTATCATGCAAGCCCAGGCTGGCCGGTAAATTGGCCGATAGTATTTGAGAAGCATGTAGGCGTATTCGACACAATATTGCCGGTTCGACCTGAGCTGACGAACGTGCTGTTCTGGAGGTAGGAAATCAACTTTGTGGAAAGATGACTGATCGATGCTTCCAAAGCGACACAAGAAGTCAATGATCGCCTTGAAAAGAATACCCGGCATCGAGTTGCCTGAAGTGTACTGTTCGTGAATGCCATCGAGCATTTGGCCTACCCTGCCGTGTTGAATGTCCCTAGCCATGTCTAGTAAATCTAGACCCGTGTCGAACTCTGGGCATGTCTCTAAGAGAAACGCAAATAGGCGGCGTTTAGGCTTGACTTGCGCCGTCTGCATCCGTCTGAGTAGCCCTCGGTAGCCAGGAACGGGTTCGCTAAGATATACATAGTGCAACGTAGATAACGGGTCGGGTAGTACTTCTTTCATGTCTCCAGGTAACATGTAAGTGGTGTCTTCTTCATGAGTATTTTCTGCATCAGACGAGAATTCTGTGCGGTTCGATCGCTCTGCTTCAGCATGATACAACTTTTCGAACATTGCAAGATAGATATCTGGGTGAGCAGGCTCTCCAGACAGCTCATGTGAGAGGAAGCATGCCCAGGCCTCCCTACGCGTGCGCGTCGTTCGTATACGGCCAGCCCAGAGCAGAGGGCGAAGGTGTTTAGCATCTCGATACTGGGAGGAGATGCGCGGTAAAGAAGTTCGAGTCTGTATCGTAGGACTAGAATCGGTATCCCAGCCAGCGTATACTTGCGCTACATCTTCCCAGAGGCGACCGCTGTACCCAGCTTCATACATACGGTGCAAGAGCTGGGAAGCTCGCGAGGCACCAAACTCGTAGCCTTTATCCTCATCCATTGCTGTGCGATTCTCCTTCCACGGTGGCCAGGTAGGCCCTTTGAGCTCAGCCCATTCTCTCTCTTGAAGCGTTTTCGCATGTGCCAGCTGGTTGCGCGCAACGGACCGAAAACCGAGACGTGTCACCGTTATTGCAGGCGACATACTCGCCATATATTGAAGGATCCGGAACTGAGCCTTTTCTTGGTGGGCAGCGAAGACTACAGGGCGAGCAGAAGTGGGCAGCGAGAGTAGCAACAGGAATGTGTTGCAAAACTGCGTCAAGTCGGAAAGCATGTTAGGTGATAGAGGATTGGATCCAGAAAAATCATCGCAGAGTCGGCTTGCTTCGGCAACGAAAAAGGACGCAATCCATGGCATTGACTCGGGCCAGAGCTCGCGTCCATGGCGAAGTAAACGGGTCGTGATGATCTTGAGCTCCGACCAACTTATCGATTCCGACTGCGCAATACGATCAACGTGCCTCATGACGATACCAAGAGCAGATACTCTGATGTGCTTGCGACGTAGGAACAGTAGAAGCAGGAAAAGAGGTGCCATCTCGACCCCTTGTTGTAAGCATTTGGCTGCCGCAGTCGATCGCGGTTCTGTGAGACAAGACGCCCATCGTTGTACGCTTCCAACGGTATAGCCTCGATTCTGTAGTATCCCCAGCTCCCGCGGTGTATATTGGAACGTCGACTCAACCGTTGCCGTTTCCGTATGATGTTGAAGATACCGGGCAAGAATCGAGTGAAGAGAAGCAGGTTCAGGAAGCAGCTCGGTGCTGACGGAGGGTACAGGCTTCGGCTTGCGTCCTCGCAACGCAGAGCGGGGCGCAGTGTAGGATAAATCAGTCGCAGACGGCGGCGAAACGAAGTAGAGGTTTCTGGCCGAGCGATCCATTGATTCCAGGACTGTCGCAGGTCTGCTGGGACGCTTGGCCTTTCTCGTGGCGCGGGACAATTGCGGTCGAAATCTACCATCCTCGTCTGCATCCTGGAGCACGTCTGGGAATGGCGAAGAGGCGTCCGATGGAGCATCTGTACCTAGATTGCTTGAAAAGGCATCTATAGAACTCTCAAAGAAGGCGTTATCATTAGGGGTCGGTGCGGAGTAGTGCCTCGAAAGTCGATGGGGCACCTCATGGTGAGGAGAGGCTACACCGCGGCGGGGTTTGCGCGTCGCGGGGTGATGGGGGAGCAGGGACGCTGAAGGAATCCAGAGATGACATGTCGAAAGGAGTGATATGTCCCGCCTTGGAAGATGGGTTATGGGGTTACAAAGATACTTGCAAAACAGGTCAGTACAAAGTAAGCCTTAACATGGCGTGCGGGCCTACCCAGTGCGGTAGGAGGCGCGTCACACGACGGCCGAAGCGGTACGGACTACCTGGAGCTACCAGGGAGAGTACTAAGGGCATTCATCAGACGCAATAGACGTGGAGCGACGCGTGCGAAAACCAATTGCGGAGAGTTGTCGAGTGCAGTGAGAAAATCGTGGGTAGCTCATGCCCCATCGTCGCTAGCGCAGCATGCTACAGTCGCAAACCACCCGTGGACGACTTGGACATCGTCACCCAAAGGAGCGGTAGGCGTGTGGAGAGCGAACACGCTTGAATTAGCAAACAGGAACTCAGGGGTCATTCAAAAGGAAAAGAATCACCCTCGTCGCCAGCAGTTGCCAGGTAGTATTTGCTGTGGCACTCTGCGGCGTGGTCTTGGCGCTGCCCTTTGCGCGTTCCATTCATCGCTGCACTTACTTCCACCCAGCCAAGTCAACTTTGGACAGCCGCCAACAGCACGCCCAACCCCTAGGCACCATTTGCGCGTCACCGGAAGCCGTCTTGGACCCCGTCACGCGCCTCTCCAAATTTCAGCATCGCGCCTGCCGGTATCGCGGACAGGGCATGCTGTGAAGGAAGCCGCCTACGCACGACTCCGGCCGCCCTGAGCGCGTTCCATCCCACGCCATCACTCGCGCATCGCCAACAGCACCCCAAAGTCACCATGGCCGCCGCCAACGGCACCCTCTCCCCGCCGTCGCTCCCCCAGGCGCCCAACTCGCCCGCTGCCGCCAAACGGAAACTCGCCGAGCGTCCTGCCATTGCCGTCAATGGCGCATCCACGCCTGCACCGGGAGAGAGCGCCAGTGCCAGCGCGCGCTCTCTGCAGGCAGTATTGGGAGACATACTGGCAGTTCTCAAGAGGTATGCCGCCTGCGAAGAATTCCCCGC